TGTGTTGTGTTACTTTGAGGATTTCTAAAAACATGTATGTGGGTGATGTGAGAGTGTGTTCCCAATTGGTTTCAAGTACACTTAACCCTACGGTCAATAACCGGGTACATTTGTACCTTTTTTTGAATAAAAATGCTGTAAAATATTTAATAATGGAGATATTTGTATAAAATTTTGAGGAATCATTCTTGAGGTATTTTCACACATAATCGAAGAAAAAATTATAAATATTTTCCATATATATAATTTTTACAATTTTTTGAAGTTATTACCTACGTAGATCAATAACCGTGGTACATTTGTACCCATCTAAAGATAGCTCTGTAACTCATTAAAAAATTGGACTATCGTGAGGTTTTTTGTTTTAAATTAGTCTATGCGAATCTGGTCTAGATGTAGGAACTCAAAATTATATACACATTAAAATAATATATATTTAAATCCATGCTTAAATGATAATCTATCTAAAACAATCATAGTAAATTCGTTATAGCATTCGAATGGCTTAAGCTTTTTTAGTTATTTTTTTATTGGGATCTTACTTAGGTGTTCCTCAAACCCTCTGCAAATTTTTGTGGCCCTAGACAACGTGGGGCCATCAGGGCGACTCGTGGAAGTCAGAAACTACCCTGGTTTTCCCTTGGTATACAGGGACAACAACAATGATTATTGTGCGTAATTATCCAATTATTCTTCATATTGGGCCTGAAACTTTTTCTATAATCGAATTAGTCTGATTTATTACAATCCTAAATTGGCGTAAATATATAAACTATCATTAAATAACGTTTTAAAGTATTAAATAGTGTTAAAAATGTGCCAATCACAATCTCTAAACTCATAAAATGTGAATAATTGGCAATAATAATTGTTTTAGTCCCTGTATACCAAAGGAAAACTAGGGTAGTTTCTGACTTCCACGAGTCGCCCTGATGGCCGCATGTTGTCTAGGGCCACCAAAATTTACAGAGGGGTTGAGGAACACCTAAATAAGATCCCAATAAAAAAATAACTAAAAAAGCTTAACCCATTCGAAAGCTATAACGAATTTACTATGATTGTTTTAGATAGATTATCATTTAAGAATGGATTTAAATATATATTATTTTAATGTATATATAATTTTGAGTTCCTACATCTAGACCAGATCCGCATAGACTAATTTAAAACAAAAAACCTCACGATAGTCCAATTTTTTAATGAGTTACAGAGCTATCTTTGGATGGGTACAAATGTACCACGGTTATTGATCTACGTATACTTTTTTGGTTATTGACCGTAGGGTTAAGCGTATACGTATTCATGTTACCAATACGCAACATATGCCAAGAGACATATCTGGCGCCAGTGGATACAATATTAAAAAATGCAACGAAAATTAAAAGAAAATATATAAAAAAATAATGACAGCCATAAATTCATTGATAGCCTAACAAAATTCTGAGGTTAGGGTAGTTAATAAATATTTTCGTTAGCTTTCTAGTAAACATTTACTTGGTTAGATGCCAAGTATTGATTGTAAATATAGATGTGCCCAAGCATTTTAAATTTACTATGACGGGTTTTATCAACATTTTGTAGTAAGGTTAAGTGTACTATGGGGCGTATGAGTGCTACTTAAGATACATTTCACTACGTATACGCAACATGTGGAATTGGAAAATAAAGTAAGAACACAATTCATTAGGTAAGAACACATTTTTGAAAATAAAGAATTTCGTTTGTAATCTGCAATATTTGAGGACTTTTAATTGAATATTATGATTGTTGCAAATTGCGAACTTTTGAGCAAAAACAACGCCCAAGATACGAGATTAAAGCCAAAACCTTATCTCCCAGTGGAAACATCAAGAAGGGCCAAGACAACAAAAAACGAGTTCGGTCAAATGTAAAGGTTTTGCTCCCTATTTTCTTCGGCTGCAGATCCTTTGGCCAATAATCCTATGGCACAAAATTGTGGAAAATTTAATCATGGATTGAGCATTACTATAGCGGATCAGCTCTCAGCGATGACTGTGTGTGAGTTTTTGGCCAAAAAGAAAACCGTATTTATGCCTCAACCCCTGTATCAGCTAGGCTTGGTCCTTGCTGTATTTCCTCTCTTCCGAAAACTGAAGAAATCTTAAAGAAAAATAGGAACGAAACAAGTTGCCTATACCAAAAAAAAAAAAAAAAAAAAAAAAAAAAAATAACAAAAAAAAAAAAAAAAAAAAAAAAACGTGCCTCCGAGCGATTGGGAAATATGCTGGCAGGCTCCCAGGGACGACTGAATTTATTAGAAAATTTACAAATTGAATTGAACTTTCCCTGGAGATGTATTCAGGTCTGTTCTAACTTGTGCAAAATGGCATGAGATAGACCCATGGTTCCTTTTGAAAATATGCATAAAATCACTTTCTGAGTCGAATTATGGTTGTACGTCCGTCTGTGCATGTTAAATTGTAAACAAAGCACAGGTCGCATTTATGATCCGAATGATATGAAATGTGTAACATCCCACTCATTTGGCCTAAGGATGAGCCCTATTGAAATTAAAAAAGAAATTGGTTCTTATTTATATGTAGCTCCCATATATAGGTTTGTCCAATTCCACAAAAGTTCACCCAATGGCGCACTGAATTAAGTACACATTGACCTATATGAAGTTTTGTATAAATCGCTTCATATTTAGAGTTAGCTCACATTCAAACTCCCAACATATGGTCGATTGATACCAAATTTAGCATAGCGCATGAAATTGAGTCTATAATGTTGTGAGCTACGTTTCATTGAAATCGGTTAAGATTTAGATATAGCTCCCATATATTAAGTTGGGGAAAAATAAATCCATTATTTTTTCGCCAGATGGCTGTACTGATAGATGTCAATTATGTGGAATTTTACTATTGTAGATTCCATTCAGAAAATTTGAATGTTAAAGATGCACCTCGCACAGGTAGGCCGGTCGTCTAAAATGTCGATAAAATCGGAGAAATAATATAAGTAGACGGGCATGTTAGCAGTTGTAACATCGCCCAGGAGCTAAAGATCGACCATAAAACTGTTCTAAACCATTTACAATTGGCCAGAAACGGCCAGACAGGAGAGGTGTCGTGTTCCACCAGGACAACGCTAGGTATCTAGGGAGGATTCTGATAATCAACTACTAGAGTTTTTTACAAGTAGAGAGCAGGATTTCTATGAGAGAGGCTTTATGAAGTTTCCTTTAAAATGGCAACAAACCATACAACAATATTTTCGTGCGATTTTATGTATATATAGTGTAGCACACCCCCAATTACTCTAGCGATTTACACGAAATTGATCTTAGGGCATCAAATTGGGTCTAGATCGATGTGTGCGAAGTTTTGTCGAAATCGGTTCTGATTTAGATAAAGCTCCCATATATATTTTTCTTCCGATTTAATGTATATGGTGAACCAAAGTCCCTACATATCACTCGATTTACACGAAATTTGGTATAGCGCACTGAATTGAGTCTATAATGAAGTGTGCGAAGTCTCGTTGAAATCAGTTCAGATTTAGATATAGCTCCCAAGTATATTCATGCCCGATTTTTAGACCATACTACCATTACTTGTCCGATGGAGACGAAATTTTATATAGTAAATTGAATCTAGAATGTTGTATGTTAAGTTTTGTTGAAATCGGTTCAGATTTAGATATAATTCTCATATATATTTTCGTCCAAGTGTATATGAATGGTGCACAAAAGAGGCTATTTCTCATTCATGCACGCGAAATTTGCACAATTTATTGAATTGAGTCTAGCATGGGGTGTGCTATTTATTTTTAATTTGTTAAGAATTGACTTAAATATATATTTAGATTACATACTACATTTCGTTCGATTCCATAATTTTCTATCGACAGGATATCGTTTATATGAACATATCTTCTATGTACCTAAAGTGGTGAAGGGTATCATATAGTCGGCCCCGTCCGACTTTTGAACTTTTCTTACTGAATCAATCTAAGAACTATTCATGTTAAATTTTATCAAAAATATGTTGTCGAAAAATGCGACTAGGCACTTAAAAATATGAAAATTGTGCTTAGGTCTTCGGTTTTCTCAGAACCGAAGTGCAAAGAAATTTAACCTTCTATTCAAAATACCTTTTATCGATCGGGACATTTTTATGACGGCTATGCCATAGTACATTTTTGGTGAAAGGGCTGGAGATCCAATGAGAACTCAAAATACCAAATTATAGGTACTAATTAAGGGGTAACGGTATATGGCAGCTATATCAGAACTTGTACTGACATTCTAAGACTAATAGCAATGTATGTGCAAATGTTTTAAAACTATATCCGAATTATTACGAACTCAATCGATATTTCAACAGACGGAGGAGATTAAATTGACGTAGGATTTTATCCGAAGCAGGAATATATAGATACTTCATTGGGACTCAGGTGGATATTTCGAGAAAAAGTGAGTAGTAAATTGAACTTACACTCCATCCTATTTATTCTTTAAAATACAGAGAACTCTTGATAATGTGAACACTCAAACTCACATTAAAGTATTGAAAAAAATCAGGGAATAAGCGGTAAATAAACTGGTCGAATCGAAAATGTGAAGAAATTCGAAAATATGAACTACTTCGACATTAATTAGTCCACATTATCCAGTGTTCACTGTATTAGATGTTCACATTATCGAGAGTTCACAATATATTCAATAACATCAAAAACTGTGGGGCGTATGATTGATGATATATGTTGCCTTCAAATTACGTATACGCAATATTGGCAAACATTCCGAGTTGCTAAGCTTTAACATTGAATTTTTAGCCATTAAGTTTTCAATAACTTTCTGATATTCTTTTTAAGATTTTCTAATTAATCAACTTTAGTAACCTACTAATTCCGATTCGATCACCTTGTTCCATATTCCCTCCATCCGACTTCACTTCAATACAAGTTTTAATAAGAATAATAAAATAAAAAAATAAATAAACACAAGCGCAGATAAAAGAAAATCCATTACTCACCAAAGAAAACGTTGAACAAGAACAACAACTTCTTCTTGCGGAAATCAGAGATGGACATGTTGATAGTTGTTTTTATTAGTTGCTCTGCACAAAAAAGGAAATTGGAAAAATGCTAGCTGTAAAGATAGGAAAAGGCAAAGAATGGAAAGCAATTATTAATAAAATTGTACAGATATATATATATATATATATATACAAGAGGATAACAACAAATATTTTATAAGAGGATATTTAAAAAATATGTATTGTTAAATTTATTGTTTTCGTTATTATAATTTATGGCTAATATAAAGGAAGTGTTCAAGAAATGGGAAACAGTTCTTTGTTAATTGACTCTTTGAAGTTCAATTAAAGCATGGGAATCATAAAGACAGAGCGGTATTAGTTTGGGTTATTTATATCCTACTCGACTATATTGTAAGGGTATTATATATGTTTTTTTTTTTTTTTAATTTTACAACCCTTTTAAGACTTTAAAATTTTAATGCTTATTTTAATATTTTAGCTATTTCTTTTTTAATACTTCACATTTATTTATAAATCAAATATTTTATTTTTTCCATTTAGTTTTTCATTTTTCCTTTGATTTTAGAAACCCCTCTGTGGATTATAAAATCCTAATGTTTATTTTTGCTATTTCATCTTGAATACTTTACGATTATTTCGTTTAGAATTATTATCTTTGCAATTTCCATTTGCATTGACTGACGAATACTCCACCAGCTTTGCTATTTCAGTTTTATTTATCCAAACAAACCCAAAAATCATTCCTGAAACTCCATAATAGTTAAACGAATACTAAAAACCTTAACACATGCATCGTCAAAACTGCATACCGTACAAGCAAGGACAAAGAGAAAAAGCTGCTGCTCGTTTTTACAACCAAAAAAACAAAGAAAACTATAAATTTAATACCCTCTCTAAAAATGAAGGAACGTCGTGAAGAAGAAACGTTTTGAGGTACCCTTCATGGAAAGGAGGATGTATATTATATTCCTTATTAGGTATGTAGCGGAAACCATATTTAAAAACATATACCGAAATCGCATTCATGTTTTGCTAATATTCCTAGAATTTTTGTTATTTGAAACGTGATATATCGGTCCACGTTTTCGAATGGCCTTCATATTTCAATTTCTCACCTTGTGAGGTATTTTAAACTTGTATTTATTTAAGGCAGTGCTTTCGCATTTCTACAGGTTGGCATGGATGCCATAAAAAGTTTGCATATGTAAAAACGGGGACCAATATCTAAAAAAATGTGGTTCCAAACCCTGTTAACCTCCAAAACAATTCGAAATATTGATTAGAAAATATTTCGGATTGTTTTGGAGGTTAAGAGTGCTAGGAGCCACATAGATATTGGTCCCCTTTTTTATCCTTAATAAATAACTCTCCCCACTTTTAGTACTTCCAAAATTTTACACTGACATTGATATTGCTCCTAGGATACGTTTTGGTCTGGCTCACATTTAAATTTATCGATACATTTTCAGTAATTTGGGGGTATTTTCCAAGAAAAAGGCTATAATATGGAATATGGAAGGTTGGTACGCATCTGCGTAGAAATTGAACTGTATAGGTCCATGTTTTGACATTAGGGATTTAGACACATTTTCCAACCGAAAAGAATATAATTTGCATTTCGAAGTTTTGGTGGCTGGAACACATCTGCGCAGAAAATGAACATTGTGTGTCCATATAAAGGTCCCTTTATTTAGTGGCTTTCCCTGCCGTATTTTTAAACAGAAAAGGCACTATTTTGGTATTTTGACATTTTTGAAGCCGCATTTTCCAATCAAAAGGCTGTAATTTGGCAGTAACCTCATAACCTCATAATCTGTAATCTGGTATTTATTTTTTTTTTTGCATAAACAACCTTCTAGTTATGTTGAGATTTCAGGATCCCTGCTCCATCTGTTCCTCCAAATTCAAATTGAAACAAATTTAGTACATTTTAGTTCTTTCCCGATACTTATAGTTCGAATTTCCCAAAAAAACTAAACCGAATCATTCTAATTTTAGCACACAATGCATATATAATAGTACCCATATAAAGATACCGACATATTTAATGCATTTGGAATGCACCCCACAAGAAGGAGGATTAATAAGGTAGGACCCTGCCGAATTTCCTAATCCCAGAGAGCAGAAGACTTTCCCCGGAAAATGCTCGTATTCAGGGACTTTGAACCGAATTTTTCTAAAACTAAAAAATATATATTTATCAACAAGAATTATAACACTTCTCGAAGATATCTCAAAGGGCTTATGTGACAACTTCTTTCGGAATACTTGAGAGATGCTTGTAGTCGACCCATCTCTGTGGAAAAGGACATCATCAGTCAAGACGATTTTTCTATAGAATTCGGAAATATTTTCATGCATTTTAAGGTCCCTATCAGCAAAGCCAAGTAGTTGATGATTGGCGGCCTTGTATTAAGGAAACCACCAATTCTCGATTTGAAATTTCAGCGATTACCGACTTGTAACTTCGTATATATGAATTAGAGGACTAAAAGGATAAGAAAATTAATTAAAATAGTTTTGTTGTTTTTGTTTTGCAGTTATTTTTTGCAACTAAAGTAAAGGCCTTCGTTTCGACGGCAGACCTGATTTCCGGCCACTGAGAAGCAATCTCGCCATCGCTTGATGTTGACACAATAAAACGGTTATACCTTTAAGAGTTGTTGAGATTTTTAACTTGAAATGTTAGAATGGACATTCTTGAATTATTATGAGTTTAAATTATATATACAAAAAATCCATGCAAACAAGAATTAGCGGTGTCCCCTTAACTGAACTTTATAAGCTAAAATACTTTTTAATTGGTGTGCAGCAGATTTATTTTTGGTTGTTCTTGGGCGAACTTTCTTCATCATAACTATGTTGCCCTAACAAAACAGATTTTTTCCATCAATGTGTCAAGATAAGCCTAAAATCTTCTAGTTTTGAGAACCGTGAATTTTTCTTCATCCGAAGGGGCTGTAATTTGGCATGCGGACACTCAAAGGCCTTACATATAATTTTCACTATAGGTCTATAATATTTCCAAGTCGGAGTTTTTTTTAACGTAAGGTGTAGTAATTTTTCATGGGGGTACTCAGACGTTTTACTTAGTTTTGAGATCCCATCCTATTTTTTTGAGGGCCCCAAGAATTATTAATACCACCAAATACTTGAGAAAAGAGAAGGTCACAGCTCTTCCATAGGAATAAGAAGATCTGAATTTGTTCTATAAGAAGAAGAAGGCCTACAAAAAGGCCTGCAGCTCATTCTATAGGAATATATAGGGTCTATATTTGTTCTATGCTCACTTTTTACTATGAGTCGATCCGTCTGTCGATTCTTTCTTGTAAGCACAGATCTCAGTTTGTTACGGAATTTTGCATGCAGGTTCAGTTCTAGGCAAATACCACCCCTATAGCTTTTGGTAATAAAGATGTGTGTGAACGGATAATGCAAAATCGTCTTATGGCATATCATGATTTAGAGGCTTGCTTTAAAAGAGGTTTTAAAGATCTGCTCAGAAGACGAATCATGGATCTATGCATATAAAACCAGAAATCTATCGTGTAGATCTTCAAAAATCAAATCCTATGAAGGTTATTCTTGAAGGAGGCACTTCGAAGAAAATAATCACCTGTTTTTACGGCAAGACTGCTCATATGGCGACTGTTTCGCTTGAGTAACGTAGGAGAGCAATTTTAGAGGTTTGTCGGATATATTTAAAGAGATTCGAAAATTTAACGAGAAAATACGAACTGTTGTGCACCAATACAATAATACTATCCCTCAAATATATTCTCAAAATAGTGAGAACACGTCGAATTAGTAGATCTTACGCCTTACACCCTTCACTTGACTCCCAATGATTTCGTTCAATTCCCCCACATCAATATCGGGTAAGTGGAGCAGTATAATGGGATGGGCCAGGGTATCAACAGCTCCTTTGCGGCATCTTTTCCGAATCATGTTTTCTCTGAATAATTTCTTCTAAAAGATTATAATTTTGGTATTTTACACAAAAATGTTTTGATTCATTTGACCCGCTAAATATTGACCTTGATTATTATAATAGTCATTCGAATTAGTTGATCAGGTGGGTTTTCCCATGAAGGATTTATTATGACCAGCTAAAAATTGTAGCGTGACTAGAAAAACAAGAAAAAAAAAAGTTTTTGGTCTGAAATATCATCTGATCATCATCGACAATAGGCGTAGTCCAAAACCATAGCAGGAAACTCTCATCCTTCTGTACTGCTAAAACTAATCAATATCAGAATAGGTAGTCCCCCTGTCTATATTTACGCATAACTCTCACATCCGAGTGCATACAATATATAATTGGTATTAATTTAAAGGTCAGCCATTCCCCTTGGATATACTGTCCTTCGGGAGTAAATATATACGCCATAAAATGCAAACTTTGTCATATTTCACACAAAAATCTAAATATTGACTGATACTCATCCAAAGAGCCATTCTTGGTCAGATTCCATTGTCCATGTAAAATTTCGTGGTGTTCGGGTCGTAACTAAAGTCTCTTAGCGGCCAGAAAAACAGACACAAATTTTTTTTACCAAAAGCAATAGGAGTCTTCTTTTGCCAGAACCCGTCATACATGCAAAATTCCGTGACGATATGTTTATAGCTGTGGCATGTAACATGTTTCCAATTATAATGGAAATAAAAGAACGAGAATTACTTAGCTAGTCGAGATATGATGATCGGTATACTAAAAGTTTGGTCTAGGACCAATATTTCGCAGCGTTTTAAAAAATCTTGGGGCCTCCCAAAGCTATAAGACCCTTTCAAGGTATTTGTTTAGGGCATGAAATATAATTTTTTGCAGATGTCTCAATCTCAGTCGAATACTTCGTCGAGAATTCATTGAAACACTTTAAACCCATTTTGATGATGGAAAACCTAAATAGAAACCTCTAAAAGCATTCCATATATAGAAGACCACTTTCCATCAGAATGCTTCATAGGCTCTTCTGAAGGTATTCAATTGTTTATATGTATAAGAAATCAGAAACGACAGACGAAAGCATCTCACAGACCGACGAATTCCCAATGACTTCTGTAGATACCAAACATCGCA